TGTTCGAAAGTGTGACGTACTTTAGGGGGGGGGGGGGTTTCCGAGATTTGTGACAGTTTGTGAAAGGGGGGAGGGGAGGGGGGTTAAAATGGTCAAAAATAGCGTGATATACTTTATGGACGGCCCCAAAGTAGCACATACAATCAGTGAAATACCCCCCTCCACACCAGGCACAGAAACATTGCAAATCCCCTCTACATGCATAGGAGCCAAAATGATCAATTAATTGATCGTGGGCCCTCAATATATAGAAGAGGAAGACCCCTTAGGCTATAAAAATACGATTTTAAATTTTGTCTCTTCTGACTTTTATTTTGAAGGAACCCCCCCCCCCCCCCCCGTCCCCGTCCCAATTGAAAAAAAAACAACAACCAGGGGATATCACTCTGTTTGTTCTCTAGCAACGGAAAGCGTCAAAATGGCCGATGGAGACAAAATACTACAGAATTTTCAAAAAGAACTTCAACATGCTCAAAGCATAGATAAACAGTTGCCTACTTTGGCGCGGCAAGGAAATGATAAAGTATTCTATTTCATGTTTGACAATATAATGCATTACTTTTTTTTTTTTATAGCAAGAAATGTCTATGCCTACACTACACCTGCACTAACACTAGTGACTAGTGACACTACGGCTACGTCTTCAACAATTTCTATAAATATAATTTAGTCCGACTACTCTTACACCTACATTACTTAATAGTAATTATAACTCAAAGGAAAAGCTTGTAGTATTAGTAGACTATAAAATAATAGTTTTCTTCACCCATTTCAGTAATTTAAACAATATCAATTAAATAAATAGGCAATATGATGATATATGCTACCTTTACAACCTTGTACAAAACAAAGATTTAAATATTTAACAATCGGTAGTTCGGTTTCAATGAAACAGCTATTTAATATTAAATTATTTATTGTTACGGATAATAGTTAACTGATCAAATTCATATGTTTTTTTGTTATGCATAAGTTTAGTAGGCTATGTAGTAAATTTACATATTAGTTCATATAATTTAAGGTTTGAAGATTTGAGGAGGGGCTAAATGTGCATTGAAGTTCATGGGGATTAAATTTAAGGGTGAATTTATGCTTGAGTTAGAGATACTGACGTAGCATCTTGGGTAGGTAGAGTTGTAAATTTTAATTTTCACGGCTTTTCATTAAATTTTTAGGATCTTTTGTTAATTTTTAACTTTATTCCCTTTACCTTTAAAATATGTTGATTTTTAATGAGGCATGTTTTTGCACTACTTTTTTTTTCACTCAGCTTTGTGAAAAAAATGTAGTGAAAAAATATGGTAGAACATGAGGAAATGTCAAACATACATTTAACATGGTCAGGAATAGGGTTACCCATACCTGAAAGAAAATTATGTGATGCAATAGAAAACAATTGAATTTGAAGCACAATATTTATCTCACTTAACATCCATGAATACAGAGGGGAAATCCATGAATACAAGGAGTAAAAAATTAATATGCAATAAATATTGATGTGATGTAGAGTACTTCCTTCAAAATTAATATGAGAACACAAAAAATAAAGATTTTTTTACCTGCATCCTCATTATAGTTTATCACAGGAGGTAGAGATTTATAAATTGACTTAGGCTACAGGTTAATTAATTTTTTTCTGTGAGGCAAAATATTGCAGGAAGATTTTTTTTAAAAAAGGAAACATTTAGTGACCAAAATTGTGGAGAACTTATGAAGTATAAAAACACATTTTAAAAAAGTCAACTATCCTGTATTAGCATTTCATCTTCCTTCACTCATTCACTTTGTCTTTGACCTTAATAAATAATATATTAATTTTTTAATTAATTAAATAATATGTGCTGCTTATTTGTCATGTCAAAAATTATTAAATGCAGTTTTGAAATTATACTTATTTGTAAAGTTCGTGCAAGATTTCCTTGGTGACAATGTGAAAATACAAAGCTCAGGTATTACAGCCAGTGTGTCACAACTATATGTTGGTAAGAAAGTGTAAATGAATATTGCAATTATTTTAAACTGTTTATTAAAGGCTAATATGTCTCTTTACTTAACAAAAAAAACAACATTTATGTGTTCTGCAGTGTGGCATTTGGTGATACCGGTAGATATTTTCAAGAAAATTAAAAATCAATAAATGAGAAAAATTTGCCTCGAAATTTTAATGAAATGACAATTTTTCGTGTCTTTATAACAAATTTAAATTCTGTATAGATCACTGAATTTATATCAACCTTTTTGTAAAGATAATAAATATCAATAATATATTACACAAATTATACTTAAATTTGTATTATTTTTCCTTGTGATCTCATCATGTAAGAGATTGTATCATCTTGCTTGAAAATTCAGACATATACTATTAATTTACTGTATGTTAACAAAATGTAATAGTTGTTTATAGTCATGATAATTTGTAGATTTCTGAATTAAAACCCTTTTAATTGAAAAAAAACCCAACTCTTATAGCAAGTTTCTGGGGCCTGAAAGACACAGTAAGACAGCTTCTTGAAGCTGGGACAAGTAAGTCTCTAATATCTTTTGAACGTGTTAAAATATTTTATACTAGTTATTAATTTTAGCCATAAATTTAATTCAGTATCAACCAAATATAATATATTTTATTTGAAGTAAAACTGAAACTGAACATGCTTTTAAATCAAAACATTAAGATTAAAGGAATTTTTCTTAAAGTTATTTGTAAAGTTAGTGATAACTTCTTGATGATTATTATTAAGGAATGTGCATTAGCAGCCCATACCAAAACTCTCATTATCCCCCTGGAATCCCTTTTCATGAACCCTCTCATGTCCTGGGGGAAAGCGCTACCAAGCGGCACCCCAGATTTTTTACCCAGTGATTAACCACCCATCTACCCAGGAATGACCAAGGTGTAGCTTTATTTTTAACCTTACCTAGTAAGGAGTGTATTCCTACCTCTGATTCCTGTGACCACCTCCGCCACCCCTCAGGCAAGTAGTATTCCTGTGTTTGGCAAATGTAAATAGGAGGGTCTTCACTGGTGCCTTCTTGGTAAGGTTTTCTGAGAGCTCTTGACCACTATAGATCCTAGTGGTGTTTAAATTTAAGTTGTGCTGATCACACCAGGCCCATATGTTAAACACTATGTCACTGAAACTAGCTTGTGACCAGGACGAAACAGCTGGAATTTTCATCATCGATAAAACCTTTGTTATCTACAATCCATTGCAACAGCTGTTATAATGTGCCCTATAGTTAAATCCTAGCTGGTAACTTCTTAATGCATGTCATTATTTTACTATGGGGCTAAATAGCTCTCTTCGCCAATTTTTGTGAAAAAAAAATATGTGTGTAGCATTGTGCAACTTGTGGTAAAACATAAAATAATAATGTTACCTACCATAATGAAATAATTTTAAATTCATTAAATTTCAGATCCAAATCACCAAAATGAAGGAACTTTGTGGACACCATTGCATGCAGCTGCATTTCAAGAGCATGGACCAGTGAGTTATCAAATATAAGAAAATAACCAAAAAATCCAACTGAAGTTAAAAGTCAATGATATGCATTCAATTTGCAGCTAATAATTCCCTTTAAACAACATATGTAAAATGAAATATACATTTCTCTTTCAACACTTGAAGATTCACAAATCTGTATTTTGTATTTTTATTCCCATAAAATTGTGTTCATTAAGATCCACTTTAACTTTATATTTTGAATTATTTAAAAAAATACTTTTACTCGAGGATAAATCCAGTTAATTTTTTCTTATTAACATAAACTATTAATGTTAGTTGGTGATGTTTAAAAATGACTTAGATAACCCATTATAAATTATAATATTATCTTGTTATTTAGTTTTCAAAATAAATGAATGCAGTGGTTTTATGCCTCCAGGTAGTAATGTTATTATTGGAATATGGAGCACAGCCTGAAGTGCCAGATTCAGAGAACAGGTAGTTTTCTCTTTCCTAGTATAACTCAGGTCCTTCTTAAAAAGTGGTTGTTGTTGCTGTTCACTTGAAAAAGATGGACAGATCATGGTTTCTACTTACAAGCATCTAAAACATCTTTGTGGCATACTTTAAATTACACGCTCAAAGAAAATATTTATAAATAGAAAATAATTTAACCCTTAAGTTTTGTTAGGAGACATCTAATAATGAATTTCTAATGAATCCCATCCTACTCCCCACCAAGCAACCTCCAAACAAATTTTTATTGTTTTAAATTGTAATTTTGCATTAAAATATTAACATCAGTTTTTTTTTAAAGGTTTGTCAGGATAGCCGATATCTTCAAATTTATTTCAAACTATAGTATAACATTTTTGTTTGACAAGTTTAAAAGAAGATAAAATTCAAGGGAGTGATCAAATGCAATGTCAACAATTTTAAATGGGCTCGAGCCATTTTCAACTAATCAGACATTGCAATATAAAATTAATATTTTATTATTTTGATATATTCTTTACATAGAATGTTTTGGTGATGGATATGGATGATTGTTGATTGAGGTTGATGTGTACATTGGTTCCTTTACAATTACGCAAGGGGTTACTGAAATTACACAACTAATCATAATATTTATTTTGTTTTTTTCTTCTTTTTTAATACCGGTATCTGAAACCACAGAACACCCGCTGATTTTGCCTCTGCCTCTGATACAGTTTGGCCACTTTTTGCAGCTCTAGGTGTGGTTAGAACTCAAAGAAATGTACTGATTGATAAACAGATTCTTAGGCCAGTAAGTGTGGTGTTACTAGAGAACCCACTTTATTTATCACAGAGTAATGATGAATTGAAATTGATTTAAATAATTATTAGCATATTATAATGTCATCATTGAGGTACCTAGATTCTTTTATCAACATATCTTACTATGTGGCTCCACACCGAAGGATTCATTTTTTCATTGTCAACCCACGATTTTATTTTTAGTCACATATTAAAAAAAATGTGGTAGCTGAAAATATAAATCAAACAACTTTTTAATAAATTTTAATGAAAACCTGTAACTTGAAATGTTTTATTTAAAGAAATAATGTGTTATTTTATTATTTTTAGTCTTTTGGGATACATTTTTTTAAACTTCAGCTTGAAGTTATGACATTTTCATATCATTTTCTGACTAGTGAAACAAAAAAATGGGTTGGTGGGTGTCTTACAATTAAATCATGTCCCAAGTCATGCGCACCAATGTAGCCACAGGGTAAACTTGCTACCGGGTATGTACTTTGGAGCATTGTTGCAAGATACTATAGTTGATTGACATGAGCAGTTTTTCATAATTGGAACATAAACATGGGGTAGTATGTAACTTAATTTTTATCCAAGAATTTACTTAATATGGTATTGGGTCATTGAAAATACATATGTGCAAACATTCAAAAAATCATTTTGGTAGAAGTGGGTCCTGTATTGATTGTAAGATATGAACCAGACTAGCAGTCATCAAATAATCCTATATAAAAACTAGAAATATCAATATTTAAAAAAAATCACTTAAGCTTTTTAAAAGAAAAAATAATTCTTAAAGTTTTATTACCTTTAGCCACCATTTGTTAATTAAGAAGGAGATTAAGATTGAAATATCATAATTTGTTTTTAGAAAATGATTTCCTTAGAATCACAATCTACACTTTTGCAGGGATCAGGAGTAACACAGACCAGAGAATCTGGCTTTGGAATGACAATGGTTTGTAATATTTCATATTTGTACAGCAAATGTCATGTTTAAACAAAGTAAACTTAACATCCGCACAGTGCTAATCCCTCTTTTTTTCTTCTCTAGTTTACATATAAAAAGAGAAAAGTAGGAATTTCACTGTTGTGAAAGTTTTGTGATAGAATGCAAAAACATGCCAACAGAAATTAAAAAAAAAAAGGTTAAAACAAAATTATATGGCACATGCAATGTTCATAAGATTAATATGTTTGTGTATATTATCTATAGACATCAATTATATTTTTAAAAATCAGCATTGGATAAAAACTAAAATCACTTGAATTTCTATTAAAAAATCAGGCTGGCTACAACTCTGGTTCAGAGGGAGATGGTCAAAAACACAACTACCTGGCAGCCATGTCAGGGGACGTATTAGCCAATGAACATGAAGAACGTGGACCAGTAGATCCTCGGCAAGTCACACAACCAAATTTCTCAATGTGGAAGTAGTGTATAAAAGTTAGTTAATCTCTATACTTTGAGACTGTGATATTAATTTAGAAATGAAGATATTTTTAAAAAAATGTTACTTTATTATAAATTGAAGATGTAATTTTGTTGTTCTGTGACTATTGTGTTTGTGGGATGATGATTCTATTTCAACTATTATAAGTAGATGATAATATAAGGGGAGAGACTTCAGGTTAAGTACAAGGAAATATGGCAAAGAGGTTGTGGGAAACCTTAAAAAAGGATGCAACAAATCAATGAAAGTGTCAGCAAGAAACCAACTCAGTGAAAAAACAAAAAGTAGCACAAATATAAAAACTACAGAGTAGTATTTGAGAAGACATTTTCCTTCCAAATCCTTGTTTTTTTTTAAAAATTGATCACTTAAACGAGAATGTTTTTTCTAAAACTCATAGCCTACCAAAAAGTGGAATTGATTTGAAAGTCGAAGAAACTTCACAACAACTTGAGGAAACATGCTTCCCACTGCAGTTTTATAGAAAATTAATTGCCAAAAGATTTTTCAATATTCATTAACAAAAATAAAAGCATGATGGCCCTAGAACCATGAGGCCCCCTAGAACCATGAGGCCCCCTAGAACCATGAGGCCCCCTAGAACCATGAGGCCCCTTAGAACCATGAGGCCCCCCTAGAACCAGGAGGCCCCCTAGAATAGAAAATTAATTGCCAAAAGATTTTTCAATATTCATTAACAAAAATAAAAGCATGATGGCCCTAGAACCATGAGGACCCCTAGAACCATGAGGCCCCCTAGAACCATGAGGCCCCCTAGAACCATGAGGCCCCTTAGAACCATGAGGCCCCCCTAGAACCAGGAGGCCCCCTAGAATCATGAGGCCCCCTAGAACCATGTTGCCCCCTAGAACCATGGGATGGGATTGCAATAGCTTCAAAAATAGGTTTATCTCTCTAAGATGGTAAAGACGAATGAGAAACAAAACAGCAAACGTGTCTGAAGTCAGCCTTCATCAACAAAAACAAATGATACCTAAAAAATGGAAACCCCATAGATTTTACTCAGTGGTTCTAAATCAGTAGTGTTTGTGCTCTAATTTAAAATAATTACTTATCTGATTTTTTCCAAATAACAAATGACGATCATTGTACTTAGTTTAAAAAAAAAGTAATTCAAATTATTTATCTAATTTTATCAGATGTTTTAAATGGGATTTTTATCTTTAATTAAAATATAAATTTATGATTTTTTTATCAATTTCATTCCATCTAAAGGCATTTCAGCTTATTACAGAACTAAACACTCCATATTGACGGCTTACATTAAGCCACACTAACAAGTTAAAGATTTTAATATAATTATGGCTAATCAATGTTAAATTATACCCAATAAAGTTTTACAATTACATTAATTAGAAAAGCTGAAATCCTGTGATAATTATATTTGTCTTTTTTAAAAATATTTTTGATCATTTTATGTTAACTTAAGGAACAGATTTTATTAGGTAACATTGCTGCTAGAGTTCTGGTCTTTGCAATTAGTTGATTTTATCATAGTCAGATTTCTGTGCCTTAATGATGTCATCAAATGGTTTGGATTTTCTTGTTAAAGAATATTTTCTTGAGATTAATTTTTTTGTATTCCTATTTTAAATTAATTTAAACATCTTACTTTGCACATTTCTTTTCTCCGCCATTTGCATCCAAAGATATAATTAGTTATAAGATACATTAGTTGTAGGTATTAAAAATCAATGAAGAATTATTATTTTTAATTAAGGTCATCACCTAAATAATTTTCTTTGTCTACAGAGACCTTAGTGATTAACTTTCCAAGTTTTAATTATTATCAGACTTTATGTTCTATAATATCTTTTTTTGTTAATTTATTGAGGGGGTTGGGGGGGGGGGGGCCGGAGAAATCTAGTCACATTATTGGTTGTAATTTTATGCATATCCTGTATTGGTTTTCGGAGAAATCTAGTCACATTATTGGTTGTAATTATATGCATATCCTGTAATGGTTTTAGCATCATAATGTTGTTGTAGTTGTAAGTATGTGACATCCTGTTGTAATGATTTTAACATCATAACGTTATCTTGTAGTTGTAAGTATATGATATCCTATAATGGTTTAACATCATAATGTTGTTGTAGTTGTAAGTAAAAGGTATCCTGAAAATGGTTTCAACATTATAATGTTGTTGTAGATGTAAGTATGTGGTATCCTATAATGCTTTTAACATCATACATGTATGTGCTGTTTTGAGGAATTAAATCATTTATACATTTATGTAATTAAAAAATAAATTTAAATATATAAATATAATTACATATATAACTATTTAAAAAATATACGTTTCATATTCCCTCTTTCTGTAAATGCTTTAAGTTTAAGCAATATGATAACTGTGTCAGATACCATCCATCCCTGTGGACCTTCAGCTTTGGCCTTCCTCGCTACTTCCTTCCACTCAGACCTAACTAATGCTTTTCTTTTCCATGTTTGGATTCTCAGTTGTTGTAGATCTTTTGCCACATCATCCATCCATCTAAGCCTTGGTCTGCCTTTGAGACGTTTTCCTCAGGGGTTTTGGTGGTGCACCCTCTTCACTCCTCTGTCATTTGGCATTCTCTCTAAGTGTCCAGCCCAGCGTAGCCTGCCCTTATTTTATTTCTTCTACTATCGTGGGATCCTGATACAGACTGTACAATTCATGGGTGGTTCGTATTCTCCATCCATATTCATCCTTTGTTGGTCCATATATTTTCCTGAGAACTTTCCTCTCCCATGTGTTTAATAGGTTTTCTGCCATTTTTGCTAGGGTCCAAGTTTCACTTGCATATGTTACAACTGGTCTGATCACAGTTTTATAAATAGTTTTCTTTGTTTCTCTTGTAATGTTTTTACTTTTTAGTATTTTCTGACTACTGAAGTATGCCCTGTTTCAGTCTGATCTTCTTTCTTTTATTTCTATTAGTAATTAGTTACTTTCATTTAATAAAGATCCTAGATATTTAAATTGATTTACTTTTTCAAAAGTCTGGTTTCTAATTTTAATTGCTTATCTGTCTTTTCTTCTCTTATCGTAGTCATGTATGTTGTTTTTTGGTTGTTAATTTCCAGCCCTGCTTGTAGTGATGCATCTTCTAATTCAAACAAGGATTTTGATATGTCTTTAATACTTTTCCCTAGCAGTGCTATGCATCAGCATATGCAAGATACTGAAGGGGTTGATTGTAGAGAGTGCCCATTGGTTGTGGTTATTGGGTTTCCCTCAGAAAGTATCCTGTTATTGCTCCTCAGGTGTCAATGTGTATGTTTCTCATAACTCTCTCTAATGTTAGGTTAAAAGCATACAAGACAGTGAGTCTCCCTCTCTTAGGCTTAGTCTAATCTGAAATTCCCTTGAATATTCTCCTTGAACCTTGTTTTTTGAGTTATTCAATGTTACATGTATCAATCTTGTCAATTTTTTGGGTATGCCAAACTCCCGCAGAGTCTCATAGATATTTTCTTTTGATGCTGTCATAGGCCATTTTATATTCCACAAAGAGTTGGTGTACTGGGATATTATATTCATGGCATTTCTCTAATAGGAATCTGATGGTGAAAATCTGATCAGTCGTTGATCTGTTTTACCTGAATCCACATTGGTAATCACCTAGTATTTCTTTAGTGTAAGGTTGTAGTCTTTTGGCAATTAACTCCATCAGAATTTTGTAAGAAAAATTTATTAGGGAGATTCCTCTGTAGTTTGTGCACTGAAGTTTGGAGCCTTTCTTGTGTATTGGGGCTATAAATGCTGTTTTCCTTCTGTTGGAATTTTCTTTTGTTGCGAAATATAAGCTTAAGTATCTTAGTGTGTAGTTCTTTTCCTCCATATTTAATAAGGTCTGATATGATGAGGTCTTCGTCAGGGGCTTTGTGGTTTTGCCATAAAATGTGTTACTTCTTTAGGTTCTTCTAGAGTTGAGGAGTTTATAAAAGGGCCTGGTCCTCCCTGTGGTGGTTGGTGACCTGCATCTTGTTAATTGTCTGCATTCAGTATGTCCTCAAAATATTCAGCGCACCTCTCCAGAACTTTACTCTTGTCCATAAGTAAGTCTCCATTGTAGCTCTCACACACTGGCTTGGTAACCCATTCTTTTCATCTTTTATCTTCATGTATATTCCTCTAATGTTTCACCTCTCTTGATAAGTTTTCTATTTCTTTTAGTTTAGCTTTTTCCCATTCCCTCTTTTTCTTCCTACATATTTGTGTGGCTTTCCTTCTGCCTTCCTTGTATCTTTGTCTTGCCTTACTGATTTCCCCTTTGTATCATGGTCATTTGTGCTTTTTCCTTCCTTGGACAGTCTCTCTGCATTCATTATCAAACCAGCCTACTCTTATTGTTTGTTTACTGAAATCCTACTACTTTTTCTGCTGATCTTTTCATAGGATTTTTTTATCCTATCCCACTGTTCATTTATGTGGTTTTTCCCTGTTCACTTCCTCCTGTGATACTTCTAGCTGTGCTTTTACTTTGTTCTGGTAGTCTTTTGCAGTTAGTGGATCTTTGGTAATCTTTTGCAGTTAGTGGATCTTTGGTAATCTTTTGCAGTTAGTGGATCTTTGGTTATCTTTTGCAGTTAGTGGATCTTTGGTAATCTTTTGTAGTTAGTGGATCTTTGGTAATCTTTTGCAGTTAGTGGATCTTTGGTAATCTTTTGTAGTTAGTGGATCTTTGGTAATCTTTTGCAGTTAGTGGATCTTTGGTAATCTTTTGCAGTTAGTGGATCTTTGGTAATCTTTTGTAGTTAGTGGATCTTTGGTAATCTTTTGCAGTTAGTGGATATTTGGTAATCTTTTGCAGTTAGTGGATCTTTGGTAATCTTTTGTAGTTAGTGGATCTTTGGTAATCTTTTGTAGTTAGTGGATCTTTGGTAATCTTTTGTAGTTAGTCGATCTTTGGTAATCTTTTGTAGTTAGTGGATCTTTGGTAATCTTTTGTAGTTAGTGGATCTTTGGTAATCTTTTGTAGTTAGTGGATCTTTGGTAATCTTTTGTAGTTAGTGGATCTTTGGTAATCTTTTGTAGTTAGTGGATCTTTGGTAATCTTTTGCAGGTAGTGGATCTTTGGTAATCTTTTGTAGTTAGTGGATCTTTGGTAATCTTTTGGTAATCGTTTCTCTCTTTGATATTTATACCACATTGTTTTAATTAGCTAGCTGATAATGTTGGTACTGTATCATAAAATGTTTGTTTATTTTAGTTAATAATTAATGACTGCCACACTTCTTAGTGATATCTGTCAACAATGGTGGGTTTTATTGTTAATTTGAAAACATAAAGCATTTTTTTTGCACCTTTTATCAATATGTTTATGTCTTGAACAGTTTGACCAAAAAAAAAAACAACAACAAAGAAAACATTTTGCATCCATTCACTCTACTTGACCTGCATCCATTCACTCTACTTGACCTGCATCCATTCACTCTACTTGACCAGCATCCATTCACTCTACTTGACCTGCATCCATTCACTCTACTTGACCTGCATCCATTCACTCTACTTGACCTGCATCCATTCACTCTACTTGACCTGCATCCATTCACTCTACTTGACCTGCATCCATTCACTCTACTTGCCCTGCATCCATTCACTCTACTTGACCTGCATCCATTCACTCTCTGTTACTTGACCATCATCCATTCACTCTCTGTTACTTGACCATCATCCATTCACTCTCTGTTACTTGACCATCATCCATTCACTCTCTGTTACTTGACCATCATCCATTCACTCTCTGTTACTTGACCATCATCCATTCACTCTCTGTTACTTGACCATCATCCATTCACTCTCTGTTACTTGACCATCATCCATTCACTCTCTGTTACTTGACCATCATCCATTCACTCTCTGTTACTTGACCATCATCCATTCACTCTCTGTTACTTGACCATCATCCATTCACTCTCTGTTACTTGACCATCATCCATTCACTCTCTGTTACTTGACCATCATCCATTCACTCTCTGTTTCTTGAACATCATCCATTCACTCTCTGTTACTTGACCTGCATCCATTCACTCTCTGTTACTTGACCTGCATCCACTCACTCTCTGTTACTTGACCATCATCCATTCACTCTCTGTTACTGGACATGAATTGACAGAAGATAGAAGAACACATTTTTTTTTTTATAAACTG